GCTCTGTCTTCTTCCTGGTCTGGATGGCGCACAGTCTAGCGCTCTGTCTTTCTCTTGGTCTGGATGTCGCATAGTCTATCACTCTGTTGTTGAGAATTCAGACTCCATGGGGTCCTGCCTGCAGCTACACCATGCCCTGAGCCCTGCGCAGGGGGACCAGCTGCTGCCAGGGCCCTGCCAATGTGTGATAGGCAGTCCATCTCTCCTTGGCTTGTGACGTCTGGGTTCTCTGGGAGGAGGCAGCAGTGTGCTCGTGAGCAGCTTCAACAACAGTGGGTTGTTGGAGGCCTGCCTGAGTCTGCCCTGCTGGGGAGAAGTGGCATCCCAGTTCTCCATCCCATGGTGCCTAGTTGGTCTCCCTATGTCTCACACCCACGCTGGGTTGCGTGCTGGACCCTGAATCCCAGCCTGCCTCAAGGGTCAAGAGTGGACTTTGTAGTGAACCACCTTTTTCCACTGCCTCGACGTTCAGTTTTCAGGGCAGCTTGATTTCTGTTTCATTTTTAACATTTCAAAGTATTTGAAGCAAGGCTGCCCCATGACACACCCTGCTCCCCAAGCCAGTCCTTTAGCTGGAGTGATGGGCACAGGGAAGTATTAAGCCATGGGAGAAAGCCACATTTTCAGGAAACGCTGGTCTCTCTGCATACCATTCTTTGTTCTTTTAGTATTTTATGGAGCCAAGGTGCCATTGATTGTAAGATATTCTGACTTCAGAAATGAAAACTGCATGAAGTCCTTTGTTCAGAACCAATACATATTATTTTTTCTCCAAAGCCTGCACTTGAGGTTGGGGTGAGGGCCACTGTCCCTCACAGGTGCTGACGCCCAAAAGTGGGGCAGACGTGCTGGGGCCAGGAGCATCCTGCTCGCCATCTCGGACAGGGCTCTTCTCCAGGTTCTGGCTGCCAGGGTTAAAGAGACCCAGTTCTTCCTGCAGTGAAAGCCGTGTCTAAACACATGCCTCGTCATCAAACCTATAAATGTGACTGGAGGAGAATGCATGCGGGACACAGGTGATGGACAGGTAGGCAGGACGCCGACACCGTAGTCACCACTGGCAGAAACCTGGTGTGTGCCAAGGTGGAAGAGCAGGTCGCAGGCCCCACAGTGCAGCCTCATGCTGTGGTGGATGCTTCCATCCATGCAGGCTGCAGTGTCCAGTGAGATGATAGCGGGGCTGAAGCATCTCCTAACCTAGTGACATTGTCACCATCTAAAGCCCCAGGGCAGTGCATTACACGCTGTGATGCTGGTGTGAGCACACCCACAGCATCCATCAGGTGTGTCAAAGTGCAGCAGGTGGGCTGTGTCCATGACCTTGACGAGCAGCCACGTCACCAGCTGAAGTGGCCACTGTACGTGCCTTCTCATTGTTTCAGGGTTCATCATGCACTGGGGCAGCATCTATACCACATGTGTGGGTGAGCCCCAGGCTGGCCCACCTGTGTCAGCACACTGTGATGTCCATGCATCTCCCAAACCCTGCCTGTCATTAAGGAAAACTCAGATGATGAGTGTCGACATCAGCAGCAATCTGATGTTTCCCTTAACCTTTCTTTAGGCTCAGGGAGCAAGTTTCCGAGGTTGGAAAGAAGTGACTTCTCTGTTTAATAAAGATGATGAACAACATCTGCTTGAAAGATGTAAATCTCCAAAGTCTAAAGGGTAAGTCACCTGTGTGTGGAGGCGGTCACGTCTTGGGCAGCAGTCACTGGGCAGTGGAGCAGCTGTGTGACCACTGTGTGACCGCAGGCCCCGAGCAGCCATCCTGACTGTGCTTGTGGAGCCTGGGGGGTCTGCCTGGAGCACAGAGGAGTTGCATTCTGCAATGGTACGGAAAGGTGAAAAGATCTCCAGTTCAGGTGTGTGTTGGCTTTAAGGCTGTCCAGCCATGCTTGAGGTTCTTGGTACTTTCAGAAAATAAGGAAAGCTCTATTGAAAACGCAAAGGCTGAATTGTAAACTAAAAGGTCTTAGAAACTGAGACTCATGTATCACTGCCACTTTACTATAAATATTTCACAACGTTAAAAAGTGCATTTAAAGTTGAAAATCAAGGCCACAGGCTGCCTGATGGACCTGCCACTGGCACAGCTGTCAGGGAAGCCCTGGGATGGAGGGCACATGCTGGTGGGCCTCAGTGGCCGCCTGCCATCAGGACTGTGAGTGCTGGTGCTCTTGAGCCAGAGCCCTGACTGGGCCCATGAACTGCACTCTCGCTGCGGGCGGCCTGCTGACCCGCGTCTGCAATGAGGCCTGTGGCGTTCTTTCCTTTTGTAGGATGTGTTCTTAACTCCCAGGTGCTCAGGTAGCTTGCTACTTGAGGAGCCTTGTTGGAAACCTGTTTGACAGGCCTGGCATCCTAGTTTGGACCCTGGATTTTCCTGCGACTCTGCCTGGTCTGGATGGTTCAAATCTTGTCTGGACTAAACTTTGCCTCTGCAGGTGGTACCCTAAATGGCTTTTACAAGCTTCCTTACAGCGAGAGAAACTGCTTTTCAAAATTTCCTTATGAATTTTGATACAGATTCAAACCTGCACACATAGGGTAGGTTTCTAGGCAATTTAAAACTTCTAGGCAACAGCTTCATGGATGAGTGCATTTATGGGATGACGGGATCACCAACACGTAACTCTTTTTCTCTCCTGCAGATCTAACTTACGTTTAAAGGAAGAATCGAAGACAGAGAAGAAAGCTGGATTTTGGGACAATTTGGTTTTAAAGCAGAATATGCAGTCCAGAAAACCGGATGAGATTGAAGGCTGGGAACCTCCACAGTTTGCCCTGGAGGATGCAGCAGCTGGCTCAGGGGACTCCGTGCACAGCCGGCAGCTCTGGACGGGCTGGGAGGGTGAGGACAAGGGCTCCAGCAGGTACAGCAGCCTGACCAGCTCAGCCAGCAGTGCCAGGTGGAGCCTCCGGTCAGCGGGGAGGTTGGTCAGCCTCAGACGGCACAGCAAGGGTCACCTGGCAGATGCCCAGGAGGAGGTGGAGTGAGTAGTAGTGCCCAGCGCACAGCCTTGTGCTGCCGTGCGAGCCAGGTTTTGCTGGCCTGCGTGGCCTGGTGGCACACCATCCAGCTGTCAAGCCTTCCCACACGAAGCCAGGAAGCTGCTGGGTACCTGCACTTCCCATGTGGAGACCCTGTGCTCGCGCCCTTGGGGAACCCGGCAGGGCCTGTGCTTGGTTGCCTTATGTAGAAATGCCCACCCGCCACAGCCCATGCTCTGGGAACTGGATGTTTGACCCCAGTAATGACGCACAGTCTGTCCTCAGTCATCTGTCCAAGGACCCTGCCCTTTTTCCTTGCATGTGACATGTGTTTGGGCTGTGACTGACCCGTGGTGGCCTGCTACCCTCTTTTCACCAAAAGGTGAGATGAGTCTCCCAAAGGTCACGTCAACCTCTGACATGCAAGTTGTACCTTTCCCTTATCAAATTTAAAAGAGGTGTAAACAAATGCTGGAAAAGCAGAGGACACATGTGATGTGAAACGGTAGCACCTTGAATGCACACTGGTCTGACAGTGGGTTTTCCTTTGAGATCTTATTTTTACTTCTCCTGATTTCTTTTTTTTTTTAATCCTGGGGATGGAATCGAGACCTTGCACATGCTGAGCTGCATCCCCAGCCCACTCTTGAACTTTTATATATTGCTTTTTATTGTCTTCAAACCTTCTGTTCTCTTAGTATACAGATTTAGGAAATTCTATAAAATGAGGCTAATTTTAGCTACTTAATAATTTTGTTTGGAAAACATTACCTTGCTCATTATAGAGCAAGGTGAAAAAACTATACTTAAAGGTAAAAAACTGTACTTAAGACACTGAAGTGCCTATTTTCTATTATTCCCAGGTGTTTAGTTTTTCAACACAAGATACTGTGATTGATGTTAGGTCTGTAAGTTTTGTTTCCCTCACAAGAGTAACTTTGGCTAACTCGATAGCATCTCACTCTGTCTGTCTCTGGACATGCTAACCGTCCTCAACAGTGTGATCCTGTATCAGGTGTCTTTGTCAGGATGACCTTAGTGTCGGGTGGGACAAATATCTACCTTAGGTGAAACTGATAGGCTAGGAATAATTTTCTTTGTTTTGATTAAAAACAAAAGCTTCTAGTTACACTGTGCATTCCTTTCCTGGAAAAACAAAGCCAAAAAAAAAAAAAAAAAAATCCTGCCCTTGAGTTTTTTAGTGTGTGTTTCTGTGCTGTTCCGTGTACCTGGATGTTCCATTTAGTGTGTCCATGGAGAACCAGCTTTGCCTCACGGCTGAGCATACTGTGGTGTGTCAGAGCATCTAACTGCACTCTTGATAGAACAAGTTTACTTGATCCATTCATCTGTTGGTCCTTTATCATCCATGGCCATCCACCCCTCCATACTTCTATCCATCCCTGCACCCACCCATCTGCCCATTTCTCTCTCCATCTGTCCATCTCTCCCTACATCCATCTGCCTACCTATTAATCTCTTTCCATCAGTCCATCCATCCATCCATCCATCCAACTTTTAGAAAAAGAACAAGTTTACTTACTGAGCCTTGAGAAGAGGAGATACTTTAAGTGCTATTCAAATAAAAATTGATCTGTTAGAGACTGTTTCATAAGGCAGAGGAGAATTAGAATTTTTGTGCTGTAGCTGGATAGACAGGTGCAGGCACCCTCAGGTCAAAGTCTTAGAGTAGGGGCTGTGCAGGTGGAGTTCAGTGGATACCTGAACTTCCTGGGACACCGCCTGCTAGGATGGCAAGAGAGGACCCAGGCAAACAGGACGCCAGGAGCTGGTCCAGCTTGTCTTTGGCCAGTCCTCTGTGTGGTGCACAAGTGTACCCTTGTGTTTGTGTCTCTGGAGCGTGTGGGGGCATCGCAGTCCTGGGAGTCCAGGTGGCGGTGGCTGTTGTGCCTGTGTTGAGATGCCAAGTGCCTGTTGTGTACCTTGCTGACATTGCTGTGATTGGAATATGCACTGTCAATCCAACTTTTCTTACCCACAAAGATTAATGTAAAAATGGCTTTTTTTCTCTGTTGTATCTGATTAAAAAATTGTTTATGGTTTTTGGTGTAAATATTTATTGGTGTGCTTTGGGGGGAGATGTGTCTCTGGAAAGGGCCACTTGGCAGCATGCTGTGCTGTGCTCACCCACGCGGGCAGCTGTGAGACGTGTGGTCTCTGCAGGTCCCCGTGGTTCTGACAGGAATGCAAGTGGCTTTGGGGAGGGAGTGGTCCTCCTCAACGCTTCTGTCTCCTTTCCTTGTGAGTTTGCCTGATTGTCAGCATCAGCTTCTGATGACGTGACCTGACCGCAGAGCTAATGGCACTTTCCTGACCCTGTGGATCTCACACACGTTTTCATAAATAAATGAGTTCCAACTGAAGCCACTAATGTGTCTTTTGCATATCTGAACTGCTTTCTGGGTGTCCCGAGTGACCAGGTGCTCAGCACAGCGTCCGTCTGCACTTGCTGGGTGCCGGTGTTTCCGGTCCTTGCGCACGTTTTACCTTCTTGACAACTTAACAGTGGCGCAACGTTTTACCTCCTCATTTTAATTTGTATTTTGAAAGGGGTGTCCATCCTTGGAAGTACATCTTCTGTGGAAGACAGTGGCCTCTTGTAGATGTGTTCAACTCCCGTGAGTGCTGGACGCCCAGATGAGGCCCAGTGTTGTGTTTCCAGGGGCGTGCACTTTGGGCAAGAGGCACAGGACCACACTGGCACCCTCACCAGATCTGATTCCGGCAGGTGGCCCTTCCCCCTGGCCCTGCCACACTGCCCACCGTCCTAAATGCTGACTGTGCCTGGCCATGCTGTTTCCTGCCACCAGGTGAGGGAGTGTCCTGGACCCCCTCCTGTTTGCCCAGCCCCAGCCCACTCTACCTGGGCAGCCAGACGAGAGCAGTAGGCCAGGATGGGCTTTCTAGCTCTAACAGCTCTTGAAACGATGCTCGTGACTGTCCCTAGGCTGTTTAAACAGGCGCATCTCCACCCTGGCTTATTGTGGGGCCGGAGAGTTGAAGCACTCGACCTGGTCGGTCTAGCATTGGCCAGAGCAGCGCCCTGGGGATCCGTATGGCAGCATGATCCTGAGACTGTTTATGATCCATGGAGCCAACACTGCAGAGTACTGATTGGATGGGATGTTCAGTTCGTTTCAGGTAAGCGATTCAGCCATCACGGTTAGCTCCTCAGAGCCTAACCAGGCTGCACAGCTTCCCATCAGGCACTCCTCCAGGGACCAGCCCTCTCCTCGCTGTTGGGGTGTATTGGCATGTTGCCCAAGCCCCTGGGGATGGGCTTTCTCCCCTGGCGCTGGCCATAGGACTCAGTAATCACCCAGGGCAGCTGGGGTACAGGTATCTGAGAAAAAACCACCTCTGGCACCTGAGTGCCTCCTGCAGAGGAAGAATCCCACAGGGGCAGACACTTATAATTTCAGCTAGTGGGAAAGTGATGGAGTAGTTTTCTAGCTGCTGAAAAGTATGAAATTGCTACTGAAAGGTCCATTTGAGCTTCATTATTACCTGGAGCAGAGAGAAGGCCTGATGGTGCTCAGGCCATCAGCTTGGTCCTTTGAATGAGGCCCTGGACATGAGCCCAGTCTCCAAGGGTCTGCAGCATCTCTGGGGTTTCGTGAGTGTGAAGCAGGACCTGCTCAGGACTGAGAGGAGACAGCAGTGTCCTCGAGTGGGTGAGGCCGTGCCATCCCGGGTGCTCTGTGGTGTTCCTTGCCTTGAGTCGGTCTTGAATAGCTACAACCAGCAGCTCTGTGAGTTAAGACCTTTCAAGGCTAGTAGCTGAAGGCAGATGTGCTGGATCCCTGTGGAGGGCTGGCGCCGCAGCTTTGCACCAGCCTCGAGGGCCGTTGTGTGGGTTGTTCGGCTGGGACGGCAGATTGCGGACTTCTGGGGAGCTGCGCAGGAGGCTGGGGGTGTTCACAAGGCGATCCTTTGACAGTGTCCTGGGGTCTTGTGGCTGTTCTCAGTCTCCACATCCAGAGCCCTGTCTTTCCCACCAGGAGTTGCCCCGCTAGTGGGGCTCAGCAGATGTGTTACTTTTTATTATACCTGTCCATTTTCAAGAGGGGGAATATCAACTTCCTGGCTGGACCCGCACCCATGAAGCCAGGTGGCCACCTTGGGCTTGTGAGGGTGAGTAGCTGGGAGAGTGGACTTGGCACTGCAGATGCAGATACCCTGAGGGCCTCTCAAAGCCATGAGCCTCAGGCCCAGCTGCTGTGGGCTCTGTGTGCAAAGTCCCCATCCTGCCCTTAGACCATACCTTTTGCAGTTTCACCCACGGCCCTGACCCCATACACGGGAGGAAGGTGGTGCCACCTGTCCCCAGTGACTGCTGAGAGTGCCCACCCCAGACCTGGGGCCCAGGATAGCTCACGAGCCACCCGTGACTGGTTACGTGATGGCAGGGACACCTTCTGTACCACTGGGGCTGCCGGGGTTTCTGCTCATAACTCTGGGTGCTCTATCTCTTTGCATGGTCATGGGCTGCTGTCCGACCCCACGAGCATGCAGAATAGATGGTGAGGGGGACACAGCCCACCTCAGGCCAGGGCTGGACAGAACTGCTATTCCCTGTAGACCTGGCTTAACAGCAGGGGCTTTTCCTCTCAGGGGCTGGTTCTGATTTCATTCTTCCTGCCAGGGAGGAAGGGGCCTGGGGAGAAGCCCTGGCGGAGAACGTGGGTGGCACATGGGTGAACTGGACGGGGATGCCTTCTTCCCCTGCTGCCCTAGGCTGCTCCACCTGGGGGTAGGATGAGAGTCTCACATGAGCTCTGGCAGGAAACTGGCCACGTGGATGGGTGATGCTCACAGGAGGCCGCAGACCAAAGGCCACGCTCTGGGTCAGCGGTTCCACGGCCAGGTGTTCCAGCCTCTTTTAAGGGTCAGCTGTCAGTTTCTTCAGGGTCACTGGGAAGCTGTTTGGTGTCCCTGGGTCCACTTCTCAGCTTCATGAATGTCTTCAAGCCTCTCTTCCAGTA